AAAAGAGTGGTCGTCGAGTCAACTCTGGCTCATGGCAACCCCATGTGTGTCAGAGTAGAACTGTGCTTCATATGGTTTTCAATGACTGACTTTTCAGAAGTATAGCACCAGGCCTTTCTTCAGAGGCACCTCTGGATGGACTCAAACTTCCAACCTTTTGGTTAGCAGCTGAGCATGTAAACCATTTGCACCACCCAGGGACTCTCATCTCATCTAGGGAAGAATATATCTACCAGCCAGTGAGACCATTTCCCAAATTGTCATTGTTAGTTGCCCTTGAGTTGGCTCTGACTCACGTGACCCCATGTACAACAGAACAAAATGCTGCCCGGTCCTGCACCATCTTCACGATCATTGTCCCAAATTAGCCTTACGTAAACATGGGATCCTTGGCAGAAAGAGTTCAGGATTCTACGGTGTATGGACCTTACAGTTTGCCCGCCACCACTCCAAATCTGAGTTGTCATGATTCTTTTTCTAAGCAGCCAGATCTCATGAGTTAACTTGATATCATCCACGATGGTGTCCAGAGGTGTCTATCTTAAGATCCACATAGAAAGCATGTGTGTGGTGCCTAAGCTGAAGTAAAGAGCTGCAAGGTACTGACAAGAAATATGGATAACGAACCCAAAGTGCATTCAGGAACAGAAAACTCTTCTCTCCGGACCACTTCAGGAATGTTACATTAGAAGAGAATCAAAGGGAGGAGTGAAATGAGTCTAACTCCAATAAACTAGGATTCAGTTTGATAGATTGGTTTATTTTAAATCATTTTTAATCATTACTCAGGATCATAGTCTAGGTCCAGCTCACAAATCGCACTCCTTCTGTATTCAAAGTGATTTCCAGATCCCAGGTACAGTTTTTCTGATATAATTTCTCAACTGCAGAAGCAACCACAACAATTTTCTATACAGAAAAAAAAAAAAAAAGAACAAAACAGATTTGTCATTGCTTCCATGTATATAACTAAAATGATCAGGTGGGACTCAACCTTACTTTTCTGGAATTTCTTTTTACAACTACTTTTGAGTGTCAAGGTTGCAATTCTTAACCACACTCAGGTAGGCCCTTAAGAGCTAAAGGAATTTCTGCAGCAATTTCCTTGGATGAGAAAGTCATCAGTTTCTTTCCATATCATGCATCTCAAATTACAGTTTCTAACCGTATCATTTAGCATTCTCGATTTAAAGCCCCTTACGAAAGAACACTGGAGTTTATTTTCAAGCTATTAGATTTATGATTCCACAGCCTCGCTGACTACCACCTCAGGATGGGGCAGACAGACTAAAAGAATGTGTCCTATGAAATGAAAAATTTCCTTTTATCAAGCTATGCATATGGTTCCTTGGAAGCATTTGAAAACTTCTACCTGATTTATAACCCTGGTATGGCTTAAAATGCTATTAACAGTACTTTAGGAAAAGTTCAGCTTCCTCTTTTTAAAACTTTAGTCTCTGAAAGCAAAAGGAACATCCTGCACTTCTGTTTTTTCCAATCAAATTGCATAGTTGAGGCGAATTCATTTGTGCTTTGTAGCAGAAACTCAGTTGGTGTTCTTATCTAAAAACTCTGATTTGTAAAAGCAAAGTCATGGTCAAGCTCACCTGTGTCTGAAGTGGATGTTAATGACCTGCACTGCCGTCACCACCCTCCCCATGATTTTGTTAACCACGTACCTCAGCCTTACACCACATTGGAGCACGAGCATTAAATCAACACAGCGGAAATAGTAACAAATCTACCTAAACGCCTCCTTCTGGGAGAGAAGGGGGAAAAGGCTCTCAGTTTGTTGAGGTATCCAGCCCTCAATCAATAGTGGCTGTTTATATACTGAGTTTTGTTGGTTTGAGGATTGTGTCTTTAGAGGTTAAGAAAAGAAGGGAAAGAAGGCACGGGTGTTTCTCAAGTCGCCATATTCAACTCAACCAACAAAAGTAGAGTTCCGTTTTCAAGCTTCGGAAGAGAGGCTAGATGGCAGTCGGACCTTCTTCCAGCCCCGAGTAGGCGGAGGAACTTATTGCTTCAGGAAAGGGCCCAGGATAGGTCTGTGCTGTGGATTGGATCCCTTTTTGCAGACCAGGCTCTTCGTGGAATTCTCCGCGGGTGCTGAAAGCAGGGCAAGACCTAGTCCGGGCAGAGTTGGAGACATGGTTGGTGCGGCCCACCATCTCACTCACAGTGCTCAGAGGGAATTCTCGCCACCTCTGCCTCTGCTGTCCCTCCTCCTTGTATTTAATGGAGTACCAGGCCAGAAAAATAAAGATAAAGCCAACAAATTTGAGGCCAGCCGCCAAACCAAAATAGACAAAACGAAACGATGTCACGTTGTATTCCCAACAGGAGCCTTGCACGCCACATTCCTGTTGCCAGAGCATGCAGGTGGTGTCAATGACTGCCCCAAAGTAAATCGGAGTAGGAATGTATGCTAGAGGTTAGGAGAAAGAGAAAAATGTCAGTATTCAGCACATCTACATACACAGAAAGCAGACTTGTAATTTTAGCAAGGTACTTGTCTGCCCTGAAACCAAACCAAACCCATTGCTGTCAAGTCAATTCCAACTCATGGCAATCCCACGTGTTGCAAAGTAGAACCGCTCCATAGGGTTTTCTTGGTTATCTTTACAGAAGCAGATCACGAGGCCTTTCTTCTGTGGTACTGCTAGGTGGGTCTGAACCACCAACCTTTAGGTTAATAGTTGAGTACAAATGGTTTGTGCCACTCATGGACCTTGAAACCAGTTAAGGGGAGTAATTTCCTTATGTTACTTGATTTTTTTTTAACATATATGTCACATCTTATCCAGTATCTTTGTTATAAAAGTGTTCACTAAATTAGAAAGCCTCTAAAATATAAATTATGAGGCTGTGACAGATACATTTTTAATAAATAAGTTGTATTTATTTAAAATGAGGTCTATTCACTACAATTAAATTATTAAGGTACTTAATACTCTTTTTCCTTTGGAGTTTAGGAAATGGAAATTGGCTTGTTGGCTTAGCTTACTTTCATAAAGTCCTCTAGTTTACAACTCAGAATGTTTTATTGAGCTTGTTTTTTTTTTTTTTTTAGGATCATAAAAATGTTGATCACTAAAAATGCAGTAAGGCAATCCTTTTGAACTGAAAAGTCCGGTTTTGTAGTTAAATACTCAAGAAACTACACTAAAACCCTTTATTACCTACCAAAATTCAGTGCACTTAGTTCTTATGGGTTCTTGTCAAGTCCTTGGGTGTAGAAAGAGTATGAGGAACACATTCTCCTCTTTAAGTTAGATACTACATCAAATGACAATTTTATAAAGGAACTTGGGGTATAGAAATAATTATGGCATAAAATTCATCCTTAAAGTTTACGAAGCACCTGGGATGAGTAGTAGCTATATCATTTGGGCTATGAAATAGACAATTCTATACTCCGGTAGGAAAGAAAGGCCACCTACTAGACTGCCTTCATCACTTGCTCCTCCCCTTGCCCCACTCCCAACTTGTCCACCTTGCAAATTATCTGTTGTTGTTGCTGTTCGCTGCCGTGGAGTCATCGTTGACCCATGCTGACCCCATGCACAATGGAACAAAATGCTGCCCAGTACTGCGCCATCCCCGTGAGCAGTTGTGGATCATACCATTGTGATCCATAGGGTTTTCACTGGCTGGTTATTTGGAAGTAGATCGCCAGGCCTTTCTCCCTAGTCTGTCTTAGTCTGGACGTTCTGCTGAAACTTGTTCAGCATCACAGCAACACGCAAGCTGCCACTGACAGATGGGTGGTGGCTGTGCATGAGGTGGAGTGGTCAGGAACCAAATCTCCTGAATGGAAGGCGAGAATTCTACCACTGAACGGCCACTGCCCCTGCAAACATCTACCCCTCACTCAGACTCCGCTATACTCCCCCTGCATTTTGTATATGTCTCCGTTATATCAACTATCACATAATATTTAAACTATTTGCATATTTGTCACCCCATAAGCTCCTTGATGGCATTGACCACGCCTTTTATTTTTTTGCATCCCAAGGCCAGTGTATCAGGACAGTCCTGAATCCTCGATAAGAGTTTACAGAAGGAAGTGATGGGGGGAGGGAGCAAGAGAGGAAAGAAGGAAGAGAGGGAGGGAAGGGCGGAGGGAAGAGGGAGGGCAGGTGGGCTAGTCGCCCAGGAGGCTGTGACGGATACGTTTTTAATAAATAAGTTGCATTTATTTAAAATGAGGTTTATTCACTACAATTAAATTATTAAGGTACTTAATACTCTTTTTCCTTTGGAGTTTGGGAAATGGAAATTGGCTTGTTGGCTTAGCTTACTTTCATAATCAATAGAACTTAAGATAAGATTGAATTAAATAATAGATGCCTGCAGTGTTCTCCCTCCACTTACTCCTGACGCTGCAGTGGACATCTGCTGACTTACCTGTACACACTCCACGTCCATATCAGATAACTCGCTCCAGGGCCTCAGGGAGAGGTACAGCAAAGAGAAGGAACTGGCTTTTTCTTTCCCATTCAGCCACCCCCTCTGGTCAACACATTTCCTTCCATGAAAATAGCCCTTTCCAGTTTTCACAGAGAAGTACAGGTCAAATGTCTAAACTATCTATATCCAAGTATGTCAGGGTTTCCTTTAGTGGCATGTCTGTTAAAAATGTTACCACAAAAGTCTTACTGATACCCAAAAAATCTCGCCATCAAATGGAACTAGAAGCTCTTCCCTTCTGGTGCTGACTGGCCAGGGCTCATTCTCGGGCTGAGCCATCAACTACAACAAATGGCAAACTGAGAATTCCAGAGAGGATTCATGCGACAAAGGGTCGGACAATGCCATTTTTAAATACTTTGCCCTTCAAAGCTGAAATAAGAAATTTAAATCACAAAACAATTTTTTTTTTTTTGTCCTGTGGACAATAATACTGGTTACTGGGGGAAAATACCAGCTGAAGAAATGGACGGGCTGCCACTTAAGAAAGAAAAAAAGCTTGACGATGAGGAAGCCAATAAAAAATACACTGAAATCGGCCAAAGGAATGGCTGCTCCACATGCTTATTTTCCATGGACTGCCCAGACATTACGGGGTGACGTGGTGTGTGTAAGAGTCAAAACGGAATTCTTCATGCCCAGATGAACTCTCTGGTTCACCACGCTGACAGTGCTAATGAGTTTCTCTTGTTAATAAGTAAAAAGCCTTGTAAGGTAGTCCCTAATAGTAATCTGAGGATCTTTATTATGTTTTTATTTTAGGATTTTTTTAAATCTCTTTTCCTCAGAAAATGAATCAATAGGTACTCTGTTTGCCCAGTTCAATAAATTTAGTACAACCAATAAACAATGGCTGTCAAGCTGATTCTGACTCCTGGTGACCCCATGTGTGTCAGAGTAAAACTGTGCTCCATAGGGTTTTCAATGGCTTATTTTTTGTAAGTAGATTGCCAAGCCTTTCTTCCGAGGTGACTCTGGGTGGACTTGAACCTTCAACCTTTCATTAGCAGTCAAGTGTGTTAACCATTTACACCACCCAGGGACTCTTACAATTAGTATAAAGAAGTAAGGAATTGAAAATTTAATGCATAAAATGGGAACCAATTTCCATTACTTTCCTGTTAAAGAAGCATAAAGGTACAAAAACTCCAGGATAATAAGCCCACTACAAATTGCTTGATTTAGGATTTTTTATTGTACCAAACTCTCTGGGGGAATTTAGCCCAAGTTACTGTTCACGGTGAAAAGGAAACTAATCTAAAGCTGGTTTTGTTTTGTTTCATCAAGTGAAATCAGAAAATAAGGAAGTTGTCCCCTCACCACTAATCTGTAAAATTCTAACTACTCACGGTGACAAATGACTCGACCTGTAATTTTTAAAAGACAGCGGGAATTTGCCAGCTGCAAAGGGGAATTAAAAGGCACACTTGGAAATTCAGGAACGTACCAAGTGTTCGCAACAAAACAAACTGCATTCCCAGTGCAAAAGGTCTCTCATCATCTTCCACGGACCTACGGAAAGAAAGGAGAGAAGTGTTTTCAAGCAACGGCTCCGAGAAAATGAAGGTCAAATCAAGTCTACCAAGGAGATGCTGTGCCAAAAGAGTTAATTCACTAAAATTTACTAACAAGAGCCAAGCAAAACTGGTGATCTAGAAATCACTGAATGAAGGTCTCCTCAGTAAAGACACTAAAGAAAATCTGATTAATTCCAATTGTTTCCGTGTCAAGACTGGTGAAGGGTCAACGACATCACAGGGCTAATGGCTGGAGAGGCAGAAGTAGCTCTTAGCTGAGTTTCCAAAATCAGTTCTATTTCAAAAATAACCACTTGTATAATTTTATCCTAACATACTGCATTCTTATTCTTGGTTGGCCTGCATTTTCCAGAATAGTAAGCATGCACACTGAAAATTACTCCCATAATTCCTCAAAGGAAAATACAGGTAAAAGATACAGGAAAATGGAAATATATATATATATATATATATATATAGAAAAAAAAAAGGATAAAGGAAACACATCAAAAGTCAGAGAAAGAATTAGCCCCTACTAGCAGCCACCTGGGAAACCCTGGTGGTGTAGTGGTTAAGAACTTGGCTGCTAACCAAAAGGTTGGCAGTTCAAATCCACCAGGCGCTCCTTGGAAACCCTATGGGGCAGTTCTACTCTGTCCTATAGGGTTGCTATGAGTCGGAATCGACTCCATGGCAATGGGTTTGGTTTTTTTTTTTTGAGTAGTCACCTCACTTTTTCTTCTTCTCCTAAAACATGTGCTCCAAGTACTTCCTGTATCACAGGAAGATTGGCAGTGTATTGACTTTATAACTAGCGATTCTTCCCTGAAATTTTGGTTTAGGTGCTAAATGATGATTTTGTAGTGTTTGAGCACTATAAAATGGGTGGCCCTTATGTGGGATTTTTTTACCATCTCTTATAAAGTTCAAAGAGAATTAAATAATTTAAGTGAGTAAATTTATTTAAGATACATGTGTTTTAAAAATGATGAAGTGCCTTTTCTATCCCTACACATAGCGTTCTAGGTATATGATGTAAAATCCCTGAGGACAGTCCCTTGTCCTCTCTCCCCAAGGTCTTTATTTCTCTTAGCCATTCACACAGTGCTGTCACATAGCTGTTACTCCACAAACGTGTGCGGACTGAGGAACTGAGTGTATAAGCCAATGGGGCTTTCATGTGCTGCTGTCTTACTGTCAAGGAATGGCTTTGCTTGGAAACTTCTAACTCAGCACCCAACAGAAGAGAAGCCAAAATGTCCACCATGCAAGCGGTCCAACTGCGCTTGCTAAAGCAATGATGTCTCAGAAATCACTTCCTGCCAAGTGTCCGGCACTGTGGGGTTCTAAGGAGCCAGGGAGTAGATAAGAAGGACTAGTGATACCTGACTCCCCTTCCCTACTCCCTCCTTGCACTCTGCTCCCAGCCCCACTAAAGTTGCGGTGGATGGGCTCTGCCTTCCTTCACCCGCTACAGTCTTTACCGCAAATACCAACACATGCATTTTGACTCTTGTGTGAACATTTTTAATAGGACAAAGGTACATTCCATGTCTTCTTATAAACAAAAGGCACACAAAACAGGGTATATAACTAACATGACAAAGACTGCACAGCATGGACAACTGAAAAAACACACTTCCCAGTCTATCCTTTCCTTGAATCAACTCCAAAATTTTAAATTATACTAAAATTAATGAAGTCAGCATTTCGAACTGCAGGCCCAGCATAAACTGTCAATGATCCTGGAGTTACGAACCCTCTACATGGTAGGAGATACTATCCTTTTCTGTATGTACAACTTAGCAACCTCCTCTAGGATCAGGCATCCTCTAGCTAACTTCTATCCTTCAGTCCTTGATGTTGAACCTTTTAGGGTTGAGACTTTAGGAACAAAAGGCACCCGGAAGAAGCTTCACTAAACAACAGGACAAGGACTCAACCGAACAAAGAAAGTTCTGGAGTATGAAATGTTACAAACTTCCTTCCCTTCCCTGACTTGGAAAAAACTCATTACTCTTAAGTTCACCAGGCAAATGTCTGAGCACTAAGTTGTACAGCCCAACTCTGTTTTCCTCGCTGCTTTACCACCTGAGTTCCTAGTCTGGAATATGCCTTCTAGCAATTCTAATACATATGATCCACCCTTTAAGTTGAGGACTGTTCTCACCTGAGTGTTACTATGATGGCTGATGGTTGGGCACACGCTGTGATAAAGGTGACTATGAAAAGAAAAATTAAGAATGGGATAAGAGTATTACAGGCCCGTTTACACTTCCCAGACACAGCGTAGCCGTTCTCATTGAGATAGGTTTTGACAATAACCACACGGAGCTGACTGCGCTGTCCCACTGTGGGTGGAGTGATCACTTGTCGGCTCTGGACACAGGTGCATTCCGTATAATTCCGTATCTAAGTGGACAAAATAAAGATCTGTTGTATGCTAATCAAGAGCAAATTGGGACATAGGAATATTTACGACAAATAAGTAAAAATGCTTTTCAATAATCCCAGTATTTAAAAAAATGCAAAACATTACTTCGAAAATATCTTCCTCACTGAAAAGAGTAAGGGTCCAAGGCGTATATCTAACAATACCAAAATCTGCTTATCAAAATTTTTGAAACCCAAACTTTTCTAAGAAGCTCTGAACACTCAATTCTATAACATTTACATTCTGTAGCCTCTTTTTTGTTCAGTTACATGCCACTTTGATCGCTGTTCAACTTGGGCTCTCCAATTAGATAGACAAGCCACTCAAAAACAGGGGCCTAGTCTTATTTTTATTTGTGCTCACCAGAGCACCTAGCACCATCCTGAGCACACAGTGGGCCCTAAAGACAATGCCTATAAAATGAACGTAGAAACCTTGAAAACATTATGCTGAGTGAAATAAGTCAGTCACCAAAGGACATATTTTGTATGAGTCCACTAATATGAAATATCTAGAATAGGCAAGTATATACATGTTGTTGTTTGTTAGGTACCATCAAGTCAGTTCCGACTCATAGCGACCCCATGCATCACAGAACGAAACACTGCCCGGTCCTGCGCTATGCTCACAATTGTTGTTGTGCTTTAGACCATTGTTGCAGCCACTGTGTCAATTTATCTCATCGAGGGTCTTCCTCTTTTTCGCTGACCCTCTACTTTACCAAGCATGATGTCCTTCTCCAGGGACTTATTCCTCCTGACAACAGGTCCAAAGTATGTAAGACGTAGTCTCGCCATCCTTGCTTCTAAGGAGCATTCTGGTTGTACTTCTTCCAAGATAGATTTGTTCGTTCTTTTGGAAGTCCATGGTGTATTCAATATTCTTCGCCAACACCACAATTCAAAGGCGTCAATTCCTCTTCGGTCTTCCTTATTCATTGTCCAGCTTTCTCATGCGTATGATGCAAATGAAAATACCATGGCTTGGCTCAGGTGCATCTTAGTCTTCAAGGTGACATCTTTGCTTTTCAACACTTCAAAGAGATCTTTTGCAGAAGATCTGCCCAATGGAATGCGTCTTTTGATTTCCTGACTGCTGCTTCCATGGGTGTTGATTGTGGATCCAAGTAAAATGAAATCCTTGACAACTTCAATACTTTCTTCATTTATCGTGATGTTGCTTATTGGTCCAGTTGTGAGAATTTTTGTTTTATGTTGAAGTGTAATCCGTGCTGAAGGCTGTGGTCTTTGATCTTCATCCGTAAGTCCTCTTCACTTTCAGCAAGCAAGGTTGTGTCATCTGCATAATGCAGGTTGTTAATTAGTCTTATTCCAATCCTGATACCCCATTCTTCTTCATACAGTCCAGCTTCTCAGATTATTTGCTCAGCATACAGATTGAACAGGTATAGTGAAAAGATGCAACCCTGACACACACCTTTCTTGACTTCAAACCACACAGTATCCTCTTGTTCTGTCTGAACAACTGCCTCTTGATCTGTGTACAGGTTCCTCATGAGCACAATTAAGTATTCTGGAGTTCCCATTCTTTGCAATATTATCCATAATTTGTTATGATCCACACAATCAAATGCCTTTGCATAGTCAATAAAACACATGTAAGCATCTTTCTGGTATTCTCTGCTTTCAGCCAGGATCCATCTGACATTTTGGTAAGTGTATACATACCTAACTTTATTAGTGGTTACCATGGGTGAGTGGGAGGGAGGGGAAAAGGGAGACTCATTGCTTAGAGGACACTGAGCTTCTGTTAAGGGTGATGGAAAATTTGGAAGCAGACAACGATGATGGTTGCACAACATGATGAACACAATTAATGTCACCAAATGGTACACGTGAGGAATGTTGGAATGGGAAATGTTTTGTTACATATACATTTACCACAATTAAAAAAAAAAAAAAAAAACCAACAAAAAATAAATGTAGAAGATTCATAATGTAACCATAATGACTTTAGTATCAATAGTAACAAACTCTCATTGGCTGTCCCATTTTAAATACCTTTTAGTCCCTTTGATTAGCTGGTGAGCTATGCCCTATGCATGAATAACCAGCTCATGGATGGAAGTTAAGTCAGGCCATCGTGGCCCCAGAACAGAGCTGCTCTTGGACCCTGACAGAAGCACCAATGAGCCCAAACTCACTTGGTCATTTTTTCCAAAAAATAAATAAGAGCCCCTACCGATGTGCCCAGAGCTGCTCTCAGGTACTGAGGATATAGAAGAGCTAAAGAGACAACATCTCTGTGAACTGCCCAGATTTCTACTTAAAGCAAATGCAAAAGTAAAAAATAGAACATTATTGGGCGTTACTTACACAATGCCAAAACAATCCAACAAAGGTTAAATCAGCCAACAAACCTTCCTGCCTATTATGTTGCTTTTTATGGAATGAACTTAGCTGAACTCATTGTCATTGTGATCATCTAACCACGGAGAACAGGTCTGAAGATAGGTGCTGTTTGGCCTCCGCACTTAAAGCATTGCTGGCCTTTTTAAAAGGACAAGTGCTCTGAACCAGAGGATCCATTTACTACCAAGGAAGGACTCAGCCACCAAGAACAACGGATCTCATTGTCTCTTTCAACTTGGTCACACCCTGGATCTCACCAAGTATGGGATGGAGAGCCAGCGACAGGAATTTTCTTTTTACCACCATAATTTGAAACTTGGAAATCAAATGTGACATCCCCAAAACATGTGGTAAATGGTATAAACCCTTGTCCCTAGGACAGAAAAAGCAAATTCACTTCAACCTTTTCATTAAAGCAGTCTCCTACAATCTATTCTTATGCAAAGAATCAGACCAGGCTCAGTAAAGATCTGAGTATAATATAAAACCCTTCTCCCACAGTATTATAGCCTATTTATAATTCACAGGGAAGGGAATTCTCAAAATAGCCTATTCATGAACTGAGAGAAATGTCTTTATTCTGAAAGTTAGAAGAAGAAAAAAAAAGTCTTTGACAAATAGCCATCGCCCATCCTCACAGACTCCCATCTCAGGAGGCCTCTCCTAGTGTCTTGTATAAGCAGCACCACACTCGGCAGCCATCTTGACCTTCAAATCCATCACAGGGGCCGTCAGAGTCACAAATGCGAAGGCCAGCACTCAACCTTATCAAGTTTCACTGACTTGGCACAGAATGTAAAGTAGGAGAGGGCTAACATAGAACCAAACCGCTACACCCAAGTGCCCTAATCATCCTTGGATAAAAATCAAAGGACTGAATAATTCTTTCCTCTAGGTTTTGTCAGAAGGCATTTTGTAGGTTATTTGAAAATAGAGATTGAAGTCATCATGGTTGCATATGGATTTCCACACGTCCTTATCACAGGATGTTGGATTAACAAGAGAACACGAACTTGTGAAATATACTCACCCCAGTGCTAAGATTACCACTATTAACACAGCCAGCCAGACAAGGGTTAAAGTATGTAATGCCATCTGATCCACAGACTGGCTCATATTCATGTATTTTACAGCCACAATTAACATTGCAGCTTCCTGTCAGATTCCTATGCGGCATGGTAAGAGAAGGTCTATGAGAGAAAAGAAAGCAGGTCATAAGCAACATTTATTAAAACAGAACTAATTGGATAGTTCTTGATAATTAGTAATTTGTCCATTTTAGATAAACCGTTCCCATTACGTCAGAGGCATGGTGCCATGAAGTGGTCATCCTAGACAATTATTTTTTATGACCTTAAAACGAAACATAAAGAAAAATACTTCAACTTTCTGGTACAACTGAGTCAATACGTTCTCATCAAATAATCTGTCCTGCCTCAATTCTACCCTTTATTTAAATGTGATGGACTTGGTCTCATGGCCTCAACGTCTGGGTTTAGCAGTTCTAACCCTAGAATAACTTACTCACTGTAGGCTCTTGGCTATATGTCTTAACAAAACTGGCCTCAGTTTCTTTAACTGTAAAATGGTGTCACTCAGTTCAGTAACTCATGGTGTCACCTCCCGCTCAGAGTGGGCAGGCCGGCCGGGAGAAAGTCCCCCCACCGCAGGTAGAGTGGCCCGGACGCGCCCCCGCAGGGCTGAGCACCACGCCGCTCGGCTCCGTCCCCTGCGGCTACTCCCCTCTCCCATTGGCGAAAGCAGAGACCCTCCTCTCCGCCCAATGGCGGGCACTGTGGCCCAGCTGCCTGCACCCTGACTGGCAGATGACGGTAGGGGGTGGGAGGGCGGTTGACCAGTTACCTCACTGGGTGATGAGTGACAGCAACCCTCGTGACGTCACTGCCTTGGCAGCCCCTCCCCCAGCAGGGCCCACCTGCCGGGAGCTGCTGCCGCGGCGAACCCTGAGATCATTTGGTGTCACCCCCTCTGACAGTGTCAGGGGGTACAGTCTGCACCCCCTGCACCCCCATCGTGACACCACTGTCTCTACCAAATCAATAACATCATTGTGAGGACATCGGCATGGAATGCAAGAATCACAGTTATCAACACAGGTTCCTTTGACCAAAAACTTTGCTTTAGAATAAAAATTGTCAAAAAAAAAGACATGGGACTCTAGAAAATCAAAAGGAAACGATGTTCAAAGACTAGGAATCAAACCATTATTAGTTTGATTCAAACGACCAGCGAAGAGAGTTTGAGCACTCCTTCACTCCGGACTGCCCAGACGTGGATTCACAGTCAGAAGTGCTAGGCTGCTCTGAAAGGGGAAAACGGACAGGAAGGAGACAGGGCTGGAGAGAGAAGTGTAAGAAAATGGCAGTGGAGCAGAGACAGGTAGGACTCAGAGGGCCATCACAGAAGACTGAAAGTGATTCTGTGTTGCTCATAACTAAAGACTTCTTTCTTCTGCTTTTATGACTACCATGTATATGCACCACTGATGAAATACTGTTCCTGAAGCTACAAGTGTTAGCCATAGCAGATCATTCATCTGTCCGTCCGTCCCTCCGTCCATCCATCCATCCAAGCATCCATCCATCCATCCAAAAAATACTTCTGAAGGTTTGTTATGTGCCTGGACTCATCTTTAATGACTGCGGTGAGTACCTTCATCTAGTAGCAGAGCACATCCCAACCATGCACATTAATCTGTAAACATAAAGGGTTGTTGTTCAAAGGCTTTTTTCCTGTGGCCTATTTCAGCTTTGATAACTGAGTCCTCAAATTTTAATGGAAAGAATAAATCCATAGCAATATTAAAGTTTTTATCAAAAAGTATTCTAAAAAGGCAAATGCAGAACAAACTCTGTCCTTCATTCATGTCACTGCACAGAAGAAAAGTTATCACAAGTCTTTGATAATCATTATGTTCAAACTCTTAGAATCATACCATTTTAAAGTTAGAATATACTTTAAAAATATAATTCTACAACCTAGATGCCCATCAACAGATGAATGGATAAACCAACTATGGTACATACACACAATGGAGTACTATGCAACGAGAAAGAACAACAATGAATCTGTGAACCATCTCATAACATGGATGAAACTGGAGGACATTATGCTGAGTGAAATAAGTCAATCACAAAAGGACAAATATTATATGAGACCTCTATTGTAAAACCTCATGAAAAAGTTCACACACAAAATGTAACAATCTTTGTTGGTTACCAGGGATGGGAGAGGTGGGGGGGAAATACTAAATAGACAATAGATAAGTGGTATCTTGGGTGAAGGGTGAGACAGTACACAATACAGGGGAAATTAGCACAACTTGTACAAGCAAAGGTCATGGAAGCCCCACAGACACATCCAAACTCCCTGAGGGACTGAATTGTTGGGCGGAGGGCTCTGGGGACCATGGTCTCGGGGAACATCTAGCTCAATTGGCATGACACAGCTTATAAAGACAATGCTCTACATTCTACCTTGGTGAGTAGTGCCTGGGGTCTTAAAAGCCTGTGAGCGGCCATCTAAGATACTCCACTGGTCTCATCCCTTCAGGAGCAAGGGAGAATGAAGAGAACAGGATACAAGGAAAAGATTAGTCCAAAGGGCTAATTGTCCACAGCTACCAAGGCCTCCACCGGACTGAGTCCAGTACAGCTAGATGGTGCCCGTCTACCACCACTGACTGCTCTGACCAGGATCACAACAGAGGGTTCTGGACAGAGCTGGAGAAGGATGTAGAGCATAATTCTAACTCACCAAAAAAAGACCAGATTTACTGGCCTAAAGGAGACTGGAGAAACCTCGAGAGTATGGCCCCCAGACACCCTTTTAGCTCAGTGGTGAAGTTACCTCCGAGGTTCACTGTTCAGCCTGGGAGTGGACAGCCCCGTAAAACCAAATGAGACTAACGAGGAACAGGAGTCCGGTGACAAGGGCCAGAAAGCAGAAGGGGACAAGGAAGCTGGTGATAGGGAACCCAAGGTTGAGTAAGGATATTGTTGATGTGTTGTGAGATTGTTAACCATTGTCATAGGGCAACATTTGTAGTAACTGTTAAATGAGAAACTATTTTGTTCTGTAAGCCTTCATCTTAAGTGAGAATAACAGCACAATTCGAAGAGCGTAGTCAATGTCATTGAACTGTGCGTGTAGAAATTTTTGAAATGGTGTATCTTTGGCTATGTGTATTTTCACCAAAAAAAAAAAAGGGTTGAGAAGTTAGAGGGTTGGTATGTTGTGGGGTTGTTAACCAATGTCATAAAACAACATGTGTACTTCTGTTTCATGAGAAACTATTTGTTCTGTAAGCCTTCACCTGACGTACAATAAAAAAATAAAAAATAAAAAAATATAATTCTAGACCAGTAGTTCACAACAAGGGGCAATTTTGCACCCCAGGGTACATTGGCTAGTGTCAGGAGACATTTATGGTTGTCACAAGTTAGGGGGTGCTACTGGCATCTAGTGGGTAGAAACCAGGGATGTTGCTAAACATCCATAATGCACAGGACAGCCCCCACAACAAAGAACTATCTGGTTCAAATGTCACTAGTTCCAAGGCTAAGATACCTTATTCTAGACCAACTACCACATTCTACAGATGATGAAATGGAGTCCCAGGGAGGCCAAGTGATGTGCTATGAAGTTGATGAGCGCTATGCTAACTAGCATCATATACAAAGTATTCTGGTGTGCATTACGATTCTCTTCACCAGCACTTCAAGAACTAAGCTGCAAGCCATGACCAAATAAAAGAGATTTTATATGTCTGCAAGCTAGTCCTCAAAATGATGGGCTTCAGCATCATACCAATATGGTTATTACTGCTGCTATTTAGAAATTACATGGCACCTCATATTAACAGCGTGCGTTGCACTCATTTATGACAGCCACCGATTCCAAGGGTATATGCCTCTCCTTAAAGGCTATCTCCACTCAAGAAGTAAGAACCTAAAGAGAATATCAACAGATACTCAAGACCCACTGATTACAGGGAGGCTAAAACTTTCCCGAGTTCAGGAAACTGAGGCACAGTCAAGGTCAGTCTTGGGGATGTTTCACTTTTTTCATGAGATTATGGTAGCTAATACAAAGAAATGATAAATGTGAAAAGCTCTAAGAAAATCAATTCAGGCAACAAATAAAAATAGCCATGAAAGGAAGTAGGCAGTCACTAAAAAGTCATTAGGGGAAAAGGTGACAGTGACACAAAAAAGATGCTGGCACGGTTAGTCTCTTACATTGTGCCGATGGACACAGCAGCCATCGCTACTAATAATAATGTCTTGTTTGACTGTCACTCACTTTCAGCCATCGCTACTAATAATAATGTCTTGTTTGACTGTCACTCACCTTCCAGAAAACAGACTGGATGACAACAACAGTGCGAGTTTTTAAAGCTGAGTAACATTTCGCAGGAGTACCTGGGTGGTACAGATGGTTAATGTGCTCAGCTGCAACTGAAAGGTTGGAGGTTCGAGTCCACCCAGAGGTGGCTCAGAAGAAAGGCCTGGTGATCTACTTCCAAAAAACCAGCCACTGAAAACCCTGTGGAGCACAGTTTTATTCTGACACACCTGGGGTTGCCATGGGTTGGAGTTGACTCGACAGCAACTGGTTTTTAACATCAAGCAACCTCTCTTTAGCCCTAAGTGAACCCATCATGGGGGCATAAAATGCCCAAGGGCTGCTGTGCACCACACTAATCCTTGTGCAAAGGGAACATGCACTGTCTTTCCAATAAGTGAAAGCATTTCTGATGAGACAGCCTTCCAGATAAGAGGCTCATGTTAACTCGTGGGTCAGTGAAAGTATTAACTTCAAGTGAGGCACAGAGCCCCCCTAACAATGCCTTCTAACCACACGGTCCAAGCTGCAAGCCTGAGAGTCACACATAATAGTTTATTACAAAAATTACAGAATTATAGAGCTAGAGAGATGGAAGGAATCCCTGGGATTATCTAGTACAACCTCCTAATTTTAAGGATAAGGAACCTATGAGGGGTGTGTTAATGTGCCCCACAGTCATTCAGGCCTCAAGAAAACCAGAAAAAAGAGAACAGGAAAAAAAATAATCAGGCTTGCTGCCCAATTTTTATTAAATCAACCACTTAATAAAAAGACCAGACTTAATGGTCTGACTGAGACTAGAGGAATCCCAGAAAGCATG